CATACACGCTTTGACTATTCAACCTTAAAATGTCAGTATAATCAATATTGACAACATACAGGGCTTTAATATATTTCCAATTGTGCTGATGCTCTATTTAACTGTAACTGTAGTTAACAAACGTGAATGTTCGTTGAATACTTGAAAGGCTCTTCAGGCTCACAGGGGTTTACTTAGCGTTGTGATTTGATACAATGCAAGTGGACAGTGTTATTTATGTGCTGATTGCAGTTGTTACACCAGTGAAATGTCTTGTCGGCTCGAGAGCCATCACTTGTGAGATTAGCTAAAGAGATGTCCCATTAGTGTGTCATTTTGCGTGCACATTTTTGTCACCCATGTAAGAGTCTACAAGCCTGTCTGTGTGTTTGTGCACGGCATGCGTGTGTTCTTGTAATAGTAGAAACATCCGTTGGTAAACTAGTTTGTTGAGCCTCTGCGCACCTCTTTCATTACAGCGATTGCAATCTGTTAAAAAAGAGATTAGATGAGAGGATGTACTGCGTAAAGTATATTAGAGGAATGAATTGCTTCCCGTGCTCTGTGGGGTCAGTCTCACTCTCACTGAGGATTAAATCTCTCTCAGCTCGATAAGCCTGGATTCTCCTCCGTCTTGCAATTGAGAAGACCCGTCTGGAGTACACTCATATTAAATACTCAAATAAAATTATTTAAAACCTTAAAAAATGTACCCATGTTCAACAAGTCAATGTGTTTCGTGGAAAACAAATCCTTTGTTTAAAAGTGTTCACACGTCCGTGTCTAAATAATGCATAAATAACTAAATAACTGGCTGACGGGAACCTAATAGTAAAAAATACATTCATTCAAATTGTATCATCAATGGAATGGCTCCATATCAATAATGGATTCATCTGATTAACACTTACTGGATCTCCATTTAACATGTTTGGACAATTCATGGGTTTATAACAAATGGCTTTGGATACATGCTCATGCAATTCTCAAACATTCATGAATGAATGCTCCAAATATTATCACAATAAGTATTAGTAATTTCATAATTGTGAGCCACAGACGTTTTGATATACATTACTTCATAGGGTGATGTGATGGCAGTTAGAATTGAGACAAATATGTCTTGATGGATAAATGTCTCTATGATGATCTCACACCTGTTTTTATGAAGGATCAGCAATTAACCTTTGAACTTCCTCTCCATCTGCTGACTACAGAGGTTCTCCATCAGTTGACCTAAGACTCTTGTGTATTACCTAAGATATTTTAGGAACTACACAAATGTACGTAACAAGTTTAGCAATCAAGTGTTTTGCTTGCTTTATATTTATCTCCACATGGACCCTGGAAACATTTCCTTAACAGCGTAATGCATAACTATGCCTCCGGATGGTAATCAATATAGAGTTATCACCCGCTGCATGATGTCTTAGGGCTCAGTTTTACATTGAACTAGACAGCATAACCACATGAAACAGGGGTTTTGCCAAAGTTAGGATGTGGGAAACCCTGTTTGATACTCTATATAAAGTGCAATATTGAGAGCCTTGATTTACAGAGGTTTTTGACAGCAAACACAAATTACTGGAATTATCATGGACAAAGTATAGTCATTAAACAACCATTTAGTGGTTTTACATCAGCAAAACCACAACTCCCCGCCTCCACTTGCTAGAGACCATTTATTCTGTAGAAGCAAACAAATAGACAGCATATGTTTGCTGCAAAAGCCTTGCAATTGATTTCATAATATGTCAGCCAATTTAAAAAACCCAAAACAATAATAAACTATTTAATTGGATCACCCTTTCACTTTTGTATTTTCAGGAGACCCATGTTGTTTTCTTCTTTTACCAAACAGCCTGCTGCATTAGCCTGCCTGGTTTTTGGCCACTATAGGGGGAAGAATAACTCATAAATCAAAGGACAGATAGGCTAAAGTTACTATATGCAGACTTGACATAGCCTACTGTCATCTCATAAACCTGCCATGGCTAACATGTTACCAAACACTGTCCAGACTGGCTACCTGACAGATCTACATGAGTCCAAAGGTCACTCTCATTTAAGCTAGCTCTTTTTAACCTTCACTAGCACCCGGAGCTTTTTTTTGCTAGATAGCTAATGCTAGGCACTAATTTTGTGGTCTGCTGGCTAGTGCTGCATAATGTAACATATATTGTTTTTTTACCAGCAGACTCCTGTTGCTGGAAATTGAGTTGAACCACAACGTTACAATAGTTGTCAGCAACGAAACCTCAAACGAGCTAAAAGGGGCTAACGCTACCACATTCCATCGAGTAAAGTAGTGTTGGGGGTTGTCACTCAAAAACATTTTCACATTACATATTCATTTGATTCTGTGTATGTGTATTCTGTGTATTCTGTGTCATTTGATTCACTGAAAATGGGAAGTTACGCATGCCCTTGAACCTGAGTTTGGTTGTGTTGGATGGAGGAATGATGATTTACTTGATGATTTACTACTAGGTAGCTTGTTTGCTGATCGCACAATTTTGCATTATATGACCATCTTAGCACTGACTACGTTACCTCCACATGCTACACCGATTAATAACATTTCCATAAGCCACAGATCTAGCATGTCATTTGCCACAGTTGTGCTGCAAGTTGAGCAGGACAAGCTAACCCCGTGCACATCTTTCAGCAGCTGGCAAAGTTGCACACACAACCACCAGTGACATTACCTGCTGAGAGAGAAAGCCTGAGAGTCAATAACACTACACTGCTGGATTTATGACAAGTGGACTCAAACACAGACTTTGTTACACTTGCCAGATAAGATGTAGATACCAGCTTCAGCACAGTATCTGCAGTGGATTTCATTAAGTCAATGAAAAAGACAGGAACAACCTGTGACTTCCTCAGCCTAATTGATGCAACTGAGCCATCAGTTGGCACATTTGGTATGTATGAGCTGTTGTTTCTTGGTGGTGATTTTGAAATTAAACAGCGCCTATGTCCTTTTTTTGGAGTAGCTCTACTCTTAAATGCAAATGCACTGTACAGTTTATCAGTGTATGTCTTGGAAAGCTGTTTTATGAGTATACTACTCTCAAACTAATCTCTGCATTCTATTTTCACTCTGTATTTGGTAATTGTGCAGACAGTACACACTGCATGATGCCATTTAGTTATCACAGTGTGTGTTTACATTCTGCTTTCACGGTAGCTCCCGCTTTCCAAACCTTCTCTTACATTATTGAAAACCTTTATTTTCTTTTTAGCCCTCTCCTGCTTCAGTCCAGTCGTTTATTGTCTCCTTCCTCGTTAGTTGTTCCTTACTGTACCGTGTTGTGTGTGTGTGTGTGTGTGTGTGTGTGTGTGTGTGTGTGTGTGTGTGTGTGCGTGTGCGCCCTGCGCTCCATCTGCTCTGTCCTTTTTTGGTATTTTGAAACTGCTGGGGTCCAATCGATCTCTGTCTGGCAACAAGACACACCCCCCCCCCCCCCCCTCTGCACTTGCATTTTGGGTCATCCTTTATTTTTCCAGGTAGGTCAGCCATAGGAAAATGACGCAGTGGCTTGGGGAAGATTTGGGCAATATGACAATATGAGAGTATGGGAACAAGACTTGAATTACTTTTGCTTTTACTGATTAGTGAGTACTGAGGAAGAACTGGAAATTCACACACCCCTTACATAAATGGCTCACAGGCAAGCACACACACACACTGTGGAAAACAAAGACACTCAGGCACATACAGTATATTAACACTTTTTCACATGCTACCTTATATTTGCAGTCAAAACTAATTCATAAAAGGCTGTTTGCTGATTTAGTTGGAGGTCGGAGTTTGGGAGTTCATTGCTGCTCAAGATTAATTTATTCAAGTGTATGTCCGGTCCTCAGGTACCAGGTTTCCCAGATTTTTACCCCAGCCAAGAAAGCAAGGTTTAAGTTTGATAACAAATAAATGCATTTACAGTAACCTGCTGATACATTTAAAAACAGTAGCTGAGGTTTATAAGGACCAGAATGCCAAACCTTTTTCCTTTTTAGATAATGCTATGTACATTATATTATATGCACACACTGACAGAGTAGCATAACACATACTCCCATCCTCACTTTTAGAAAACTTGCACAGTGCCCTTACGTGATTTGTGCTTGCCGGATCTGTGATCCGGCTGCTCGGCCACGTACTGGGGGTTCCATGCGGCAGGTTTCCACCTGTCTGTGCACATCCAATATTTTCTAACTAAGTGGACGCAGATTGGCGGAGAAAGTGGAGAACTTTGAGGAGCTTTGAGAATATTTCATCAGCTCATTTCTATGTGACCATTCTTGCAGAAAGTATAACCGAGGTGTTTGGTGCGCATGCCTGTTAGATATGGCCTAATTGCTTGGCTCTCGGTATTTGCTGTTGACAACCACTCCTTGCTCGGTGACACCAGAGAAGTGAAGAGTTCGGTTGTAACGTTAGTATATCGAGCATCCAGCAGAAAAAAGTGAACTTCAGTCAATGAGCTGCAGCTGCCTGTAAAGGCCCGCTGCAGACAACATGCTCGACTCAACCTGCAGAGGCCTTAAGCCCTGCCCCTGCTGCTTCACAGAGCGCTATTGCTTGTTTGTTTAATATTTATTAATATTAGACGTGTTGTCTGTCCATGTTGCACCAACCTCAACACTGCATATCCTTGGGTCCCCATCGATACACCCACCAAGTATGAAGTAGATCGAATGAACGGTTCTCCAGATATTCAAAGGACATACCCACAGCCCGACAGAGAGAAAGAGATTCCTTGCTTCATAGTCAGATGTCATCACCTACATGCAAAACCCTGTAACCATCCTGCAATCCCCCTAGGAGACCTTCATTTGAAACCATGTAGCCTATTTCAGGTGCAGCGACAGTTAACATTATTTACAATAGGTGTCGGTAAACCACCAATCTTGTACAGCAGTTGCAAATCACAAGAAAAAACTTTCTGTTCCATGTAACCACAAGTAAAGTGATTTTCTCTCCCTGTTATCCTTTCTACTCTCCCCCCCCCCAGCTCCCCCAATGATCCGGCTGTCAGTGAATGACACGGTGGTGGTGGATCCCGGACAGGATGTGCCCTTAAACTGTGAGGTGACAGCAGGTTTTCCCCTCCCCACTGTGGTGTGGTCACGTTACCCCAGATCCCTTCCCCTCAGCGCCCAAGTTCGAGGGCCAACGTTGATTCTGCGAGCTGTCACCCCGGCTGACGCAGGTTTCTACAACTGCACGGCTGTCAACAATGTGGGCAACCCAGCACGCAAGAACGTCAATCTCGTTGTCAGGAGTAAGTAATACATGTGTGTGTTTGGTCCGAACTTGACATGATTTATGCTGTGTTCATCCAGCAACAATGTAGGTTCAGTGTTTTGAAACTTTGAAACTATAATGTGTGCAATTTTTTCCTATTTTTAATCATGCCATATGTTTTCTTTTCTTTCCTTTTGATAGCTGAGGGGATAGTATAGAACAGATTTTTTTTATTAAGCAAAACACACGCACACACATGAAAAATATCTTAGTATTCTTGAAAATATTAATTAAATCATTTTTTGGGGATTAAACTGACTGTATTTTTAATTTTAATTTATTTAAAGCTAAAATTATTTCCCTGACTGAAAATAACAAGTGCCATCTGTCCAGTCCTCGTTGGCTTTATTCTTCCAATGTAGTGTGTGAATGTGAGCAAATGTATTCATTTGCTGTGTGCACTCTGTGTATGTGTTGAGTGTGACTCACCTGCAGTTGATCCATCATTAGAGAGAGCTGATGTGAACCGTGTCAGAATAGGCGAGCTAAGTATTGCGCTTCTCCCTGATGCTAAAACAAGAAGCCTTCCAATCTCCTTCGCCTCTGGCTATTTTTAGTCCCTTTAATCATCTTTATTCACTCCAATTAGTTAGACTGGAGTGGAGGCAATTAGCAACAGTCTCTTCTGTTAGTTAACACTGTAGAGAACGTATGCTGGATGGGTTTCTCCTGTTTGCCTAATGGGCCTGAACGCATCGTCACACCAGCACAGGTGGCAAGGCAGTGAATGTGACACACACACACACACACACACACAAACTCGCGATCAGATAAGTGCATAGAGATAGAGGTATGCAGGTAGGCAGGCGACACAGTTGAAAAAGTACATGGATGCACACACAGCCGCAGACGCACACTAACCAGGTAAAGTTGCATGATCATAATGAACATATGGTCACTGCTTCATACCCATGGCTCCACCCAAGCATCGTGTTAACAAGCTCGAAAGGAGTTTAAACCAAGCTCTCCTCTCCTCCTTCTCGCCTGTATCTCCTGTTAGTGGAGAAACAGAGAGCTGTTTTGTATTCAACATGGAAATCTGTTGGGGAAACGCAGCCTTTGAAACTGAAAATTAAATGTGACAGTGTGAGAGTTACTCTTTGTCCTTGATTTTGTTTTCCCCCGCCTCCTCCTTATCCCCCTCTTATTTTATTTTATTCTGTATCTGGCACCTTTTGTCCCTCCTTCACAATTTGCATCTACCTCTCTCTCTCTCTCTCTCTCTCTCTCTCTCTC